TTTGCAGTATTAATAACAATTCTTGTTAAAGGTAGATTACATTATTTAGCCTTTCCTATTGTAGGAAGGTAATAGGACACCTTCTAGCTTCTCTCCCTTTCCTCTTTTTATTTATTTCTTTACTTTTAAGGAAGAAATCAATGTGATTATTTTTTTCTGATTACAGACAGATGTCACAAAGTAGCCCAGGCTAACTTCCAGCCCACAAACCTCTGTCAGCCTCCCTATGCTGTGATCACAAGCATATACCATCATGCAGATGATCAGTGGGAAAAGCACTTGCCACACACATTAGACCTGGACTGGACCCCCCAGAGCCCATGGTGGAGGGAAAGGACTACATTAATGCCTCCATGTTCATGTTGTGACAGACAGGCATATATGTGTGTATGTACACACACAATAAATAAAATGTGATAAAAATGTTAAAATACTGATACCAAAAACTGCCACCACATAGCCCACATATGGGATATAGTTCTTTAGACCCACACGGAAGCCTTTATTTTAGAAGTGCTTATCTGATACATTTTCCGCTAAATACCATGCATCGAGATGTCACCTTCACCATTTCTTTTTAGGGTGATTGTTCTCCATTGTCGCCATGATAACAGGTGGGGAAACCCACAGGTATCCTGCTTCTTAATTCAAAGTATAGTGAGGGTGACATTTTATTGCCTAAGTTTTAACCTTTTTTAGTACAGAACCATAAAAATGGAATTGTTTGATCAAACTTTAACTGGCAACTAGGTTTGGTGCTATTTGCCTGTAATCTAAGGCAGTCCGTTAAGAACTTGTCTCAAAATAAAGTTTAGAAGTTTAAAATGTTCTTTCTTGGATGAACACTTGTAGTTCATGTACTGGGTTTTGTCTTCAGTACCAAAATTTTAATAGGCATGATGGTTATAAATATAATGTATTGATTTTCTTCCTTGTGATTTATATTCAGTAAAGGTTGTTTTAAAAGTCAAAGTATAGATTCTAATGTCTTAAAATATGATGCTCAGATGTTCGAAGTAAAGATGGGGGAAGGACTCAGATTTCATTATCAGCCACTGGCATAATGAGTTTCAGTTCAGCTCCCTAATAATAGTTTACCAGCTTGTATAATACATCATTTTGCTTTCAAAAAGGAAGCATGGGTGGGAGATGGTTGAGTGTCATAAATTATGACATGATGTTCAAACCTTGGACAAATCTGTTTCTTGAACTAAATTCTAATTTTGTATAATTAATATTTTCAACTCTAGCTTAAGTTAATTAACTTTTACTTCCAATTTGATATGTCATTTGAGTAGATTTAATTGAGCTGCTTTCAGCATAAATTTATATTCCTGTTCAGACAAACTATGGAAAATTAGGAATAGTTGAAAACGTTTCACTTTAATATTTTTGCATAATTAATTTGATGAAAACAAATCTCATTAAAGACTTTTAACATGAAATTTGTGCAGTGTTAGAAAAGGATTTACCTCCATTTATTTTGGCTGATTCTGCACTAGATTAATCCTAATTCTACTTCTGCTGCAAACTACAAATGCTGGAGCTAATGACCCCAACGTTGTCAGAACTGCCCCCATATTAAGATCTTGTTTTTCCTCACTGTGGAGACAGAAGGCCACCCCTGAGGGGGAAATCCTGTGCATGGAAACCTGCAGTGTGACTCACTAGCTTTGAAAATGCAGGCATGGCTGTTGTCTGGGGCCTTGGAATCCAGAATTGCTATAATTTGTTCATGAATGGGATTTGAATTTCAGAGCCTGGAAGAAAATTAATTCACCAAATATACCTATTATTGCTTTTCTGGGACCGGGGGTCAAGAGCTGAGACATAAGTTAGTATCTGGAGAGTTACAGAAGTCCCCCATTGTCAGTGATAAGAATAGGGACCTAAAGGCAACTCAGCAAACCAGAGTGCCTGGCCAGGCACATAGAAGGTGTGGTGGAGGGGGCAGTGATGAACACCTTTAATCACAGTGCTCAGGAGGTTGAGGCAGGAACATCACACTTGACAGCCAGCATGAACTACACGACAAATTCAAAGTCAGCCTAAGCTACACAGTGAGACCTGATCTCTAAATAAATGATTAGATGATGATGATAGGTGGGTAGGTAGGTAGATGGATGATAGATAGATAGATAGATAGATAGATAGATAGATAGATAGAGATAGGCAGGCATAGAGATGATAGTTACAGAGAAAGATTGGGCTGGAGGTATGGCTGAATGGTAGAGCACCTATTCAGCATGTGTGAGACCCTAGGTTCAATTTCCAGCACCAAAATAATAATAATAATAATGATAATAATAAATGTCTCATCGAAATTGCCTGTGGACAGAAAGTCTGTCTCCTTTTTCTTCTTTGTGTTTGCCAAGGCAAAGATCTGGGTATCTGAGAGCATCCGTCTCTGAGACTGTAAAGAAGGTTAGGGTTAATGTAGATATTTAGAATGACAAGAAGCTGCATCAGTGGAGTTATTCCATTTCAAAGAGCAGAAATAGTTCAAGCAATTGCCATTGCCACTTTGACTGACTATAACAAATGCCAATGTGGCTGAGCCTCTCTCCCTCCCTCCCTGTCTCCCTCCCTCCCTCCCTCTGTCCCTTCCTCCCTCATAGTTGTGGAGGATGGGAAACCTGAATCATGGTACCAAACTGGACCTTGGTGAAGCTTCCTTCCTGGTTCGCAGACAGACAGCCTCCTTATTGCTGTATCCTCCCATAGCAGAGAGATTCTCTCTCTTCTATCTCCCTTCTTCCTCCCATCTTTTCTCTTCTTCCCACTTCTTCCTTTCCTTCCTTCCTTGCCACTCCCTCTGGTAAGCAGAGCCTCTTGCTGTAGCCCAGGCTGACTTCAAACTCTGAATCCTCTTGCCTCACTCTTGCCAGTGCTAGGATTACAGGAATGAACTACCACATCGGATCATGTGCCTCCCGTAATGCTACCAATCCAATTGATTGATAGTGCTCTAATTTCCACACGACTGTGTGCAGGGGTGTGTGTGTGTGTGTGGTGCGTGGTGTGTGTGTGTGTGTGGTGTGTGGTGTGTGGTGTGTGTGTTAGAAATCAGCTTGTGGGAGTCTGTTCTCACTTTCCACCATGTGAGTCCCAGGTATCAAATTCAGATCTTCAGACGTGTAAGTGCCTTTACTCACTAAGCCATCTCACCGGTCTCGGCTACATCATTTTTAAAGTCAGAAGGAAGTGCTTTTGTTTTTGTCTAGAGATCTTAGTCTCCCCTTTAGATTTAATCTAGTAAAGTCTGGCTCCCCTGTGTCTAGAGCTGCTTGCTCTGTTTCCCGTTTTCCACTTGTAGCACTTCCTAAGCACTGCCAGGGAGCAGCTGTCCCCACAGTCAAGGCCACAGTTGCCGGCACTGCAGAAAGCAGCAGCAGCAGCAGACATGGCACTGTTCTGTCAGAGTGTTTCTCATTACTGTTAGAGCCTTTGCCTGATGACTGAGTTGGAGAAGATGATATTTAGTTTGGTGTCCAGCTATGTGGGGGCTGTACATATTTAGTGTGTGAAAGGGCCTGTGTTTAATCTCCAGCACCAAGGAGGAAAAACAGGAAGTGGAAAGGAAGGAAACAGTGTGTCTTTCTATTTGTGCCCCCCCCTCTCTGTGTGTGTGTGTGTGTGTGTGTGTGTGTGTGTGTGTGTGTGTGTGTGTGTTTCTGTATGGGAAATTAAACCATGAAAGCATTAGTACATTTGTATGAGAATTGGAAATCTGGGGTATAATCACATTATTAAATGCATGACTATTAAAGTTTAGCAGCAGAAAAGATGAGTGTCAGAATATATGAATGCAGAATTCCTTCAGGTATTAAGATCATGTCCATGATCTGTGACAGCTGCTCAGGACCACTTTGGAGCAGCTGCTTGAATTCCTTTATTGAACAGGAAAGCAAGTCAGAAATAACTGGGAGTGTGGGAGTCAGTGCATTTCTCTGATACTAATGAGCTCAGCCAGGAACAAAACACAACAGAATAGGAGGCAGAGTGGAAAAGTTGCCTGCTAGCCATGGCTGTACCTCCCTAGGCACAGGGGTGGACTGGCTTCCAAAGACAGTTAAAAGTATTCTGCTTCCCTCCCGTCCTTTGACAATTTCCCTTTGCTTTTTCATTGTAACCACAGTGATGAAACAGTGTTTTCAAAGATGCATGAATTGTGTCTCCAGATTCAATATTACAGAGACATCAAGGGCTGATGGATTAAACACTAATTTCAAGACTCCAGTTCTTGAATATAATTCTAAGATTGTAGTAGTTATCAGGGCCACAGCTACCTAGGGATAAAGTAACAGTACGGGTAACTAGTTCCTTATCAAACAGATGGGGAGAGCAGAACTGGATGGATGGTAAGAGAGAATAATTGTAAGTGTTGTATAATGTAAATCAGTGGGAAGATTTGAAATGAAAACAGTTTAGATCTACTTACTGTTCTGTCATATAAAGGTGACTCCAGTCAAACTATAATTCCAGTATACCTTGGACATGAGCAGATGACTCATTGGTTGTCTGCAGCAAGATGTAAAATTAGTTGACCTAAACTTCAACTTAAAGCAGGTATATAATATTTATCTCCTGTGTAATGTTAAATGGACTTCCTGAGCTCTGTATATACTGGAGTTGGTCTGTTTTCTACATTCTTTAGGAATCTGGAAAAGCCATAGAAAATGAAGTATCTGTTGTAAAACTTTGCATTGAGCTCAGCTACCATTCTCATAAAGTTTAGCAACAGGGTCAAGGAGTTTAGTCCTTTATTCTCTGTAGCCACAGCTGAGTTTAGGAGACTTTTCATAGTTGCTTAGAGTTCTCTTGTGAATCTGTGTACAAAGAATATTGAAACTTCTACCATTAATGAATCCTATACACACACTTAAAAGTGAAAACTTTATTGTTTAATCACAAGCATTACATATGTATATATATGTGTATATTCGTTGTATAAACTATACGAGTTGTATTTTTACAAGTATTTTATTTTTCCCAAACAGATAAATAATCAAATCCTTTATGGGAGAAGTCATCAAAATGCATCTGCCATTATTAAGACTGCCCCAAGCAGGGTCAAACTGGTTTTCATTAGGTAAGTTAAATTAGTCTTCTAAATATATAGTCTCCTCTGGAGAGACAATTATTGGCATAAGAATATTTTATTTTAGCTTTGTCTAAAAAAGTCACTGTATTCTACTTCTTACAGGAGTGCTGGTCAGGGATCTGGGTAGATTGAAGTAGCAGAGCACACTCGCTAGTATGTGCTAGATCCCGGCTTCATCCCCAGCACCAGATATGGTAGTGTGTGTCTGTGATCCCAGCAACTTGCAGAGGATGGGGCGGGGGCGGTCAGAAGTTCAACGTCATACCTGTATACATAGAGTTGGAGGGCAGCCTGCTGCATGAGACATTCTCATTAAGAAAAAAAGTGCTGGTGATTGATGTAGCCTAGGAAAGTCAGCTCTGTGGTGTTTGGGATTAAGTCTCTGTTATTTAATTTAAATGACATTTAAGTTTAGATAAGTTGTAGCTGGTGTAAGTAACCATGTTTGGTAAGTATTTCTGGGTGTCTGTCTCCTCTACAGTTCCATTATCATTTTTTAATTTTTTTAAAGATTTATTTATTGTATATACAGTATTCTGTCTACATGTATACTTGCAGGCCAGAAGAGGGTGCCAGATCTCATTACAGATGGTTGTGAGCCACCATGTGGTTGCTGGGAATTGAACTCAGGACCTCTGGAAGAGCAGCCAGTGGGTGCTCTTAACCACTGAGCCATCTCTCTAGCCCCCTGCCATTATCATTTTTAAAGTGGATACTATAAAGCAACTACCACCTTCATTATTTCATTTCAACATTTTAAAATAATGGAGTGGAGAGATGTCTCAATAGTTAAAAGCACGGGCTGCTCTTGCAAAGGACACGCATCAATTCCCAGCATCCATGTGGTAGCTTACAACCACCTGTAGCTCCAGTGCCAGGAGATCCAATTCCCTTTTCCTGACTTCCTTGGGCACCAGGTGTGAACATGGTACATATATATGCAGACAGAACACTTGTGCACATAAAATAAAGTAAGTAAATCAAAAGTTTTGAAAATAATATGGGCTGGGATGTAACTCAGTGGTAGAGCACTTAGAATACCTAAGGCCCTGGGTTTCATCCAAGCTCTGCAAAAGAAACAGATACAGTGGCCAACACAATGAGAAGTACAGGATGAGTGCTGAAAGACTGTTCACTGTTTTTCCCTTTCGCTCTACTTACCACCAGTCAGACCTCCCCTTACTGGGAACACTGGCATTTGAGGGTGATTTTGTTCCCAGTGTGGGCAGTGGTGCAGCTGAACAAACTTCCCACATCACCTTTCAACTGTTGGTTCTCCTGGCGCAGCCCTCCAGCTGCTTCCCTTTCCCCTACCTAACAGCTCTTTCTTCCCGATTGGTTTTTTTGTTCTGGCTTCTGAAGGAGGAGATCTTCTTGTGTGTATCTGTGTATTGAGTCAATTGCCGAGGCTTCCTCAGCAATGTCCTCTTTGGGGTTTCCTTGCACTTCCCATTTCCAGGGGCTTCAAATGAGCTTGCTTATGGTAAGGTGAGCAGATTTGAAGCAAGATCAGTAACTGAAAAGGCTAAGATGTCCATTGAGGGAGAGCCACTCAAGTCACAGGTTCAGGCTTGAAAACCGATGCGTGCCTGCTGTCGTTTTGGTATTGTTTGTATGTCCCACAGGGTTCATGGGTTGTAAGGTTTGATTTCCAGTGTGGGTTATGTGAAGAGGGGGTCCTTTCAGAGAGAGGTTTAAAAGTTGGTCAATCACTGGCTACTACCCTTTGAAAGATTAAGGCACTTCTCATGGATTTGGAGTTAGTTTTCTTGAAACCGGGTTCTTATAAAAAATATGAGCTTCAGGGCTAGAGAGATGGTTCTGGGGTATTTTCCCAATTTGGTTCCCAATACCCACATTTGATCATTCACAACCAACTATGATTTCAGCACCAGGGAGATCAGATACCTCTGGTGTCTTTGGACATCTGCATTCACATGTACATATGCATACTTCAAATATAATTTAAAAATTTAAAAGATGCACTTGGAATGGAGTTGTAGCTTAGACTGCTTGCCTGCGAACATACATGAGGCTCTCGGTTCCATCCTCAGCACCACAAAGAGAGTAAAACAGACAAAGCAAACAAATGCGCCTGATCCCAGAATCACCCTCTGTCTTCCTGGTTTCCCGGGATGCCTCTTACTCTCTTCCACACTGTAAGCGTTTCGTCGGGATGGGTCGGGACAGGATGGAACAGGAGTGGGTCAGGTATTCTGGCACTCGGGAGTCACAGAATACTCAGTGTTACACAGTTCAGGTGGAAAGGTATCCTGGAGCTCGGGAGCCAAGGATACTGAGTGTTACACAGCTCAGGTGGAAAGGTATCCTGGAGCTCGGGAGCCAAGGACCACCACAGGTTGCAGTAAGCTTGGCAGCTTACAGCCTTGCCTCAGAGAAAGGCTTCTCCGGTGTATCAGCTCCGCTCCGGCAGGACAGGGTCTTCCAGCTGGGGATGTTCGCCTAGTGTAGCAGTTTTGCTCCGCAGGAGGTTTCTCGGGCGAAGTTGCTACAGTTCAGCTCTGCTCCTGGAGAGCCGAGAGCGGAGAGCAGGGAGCCGGGCGGGAGCAGAGTGTAACAACTCTGCTCTGCCAAGGAAGGTTTCCCGGGCAAGTGTTACAGTGCTGCTCGCTCTGCTCTGCTCTGCTCTGCTCTGCCCAGGGTCGCCTCTGCTTGCTCTGCTCTGCTCTGCCCAGGGTCGCCTCTGCTCTGTCGCCGCCGCAAAAGAAGATCTTCACCCGAAGCTCATCCAAAGGTGTTTATTGGAAGACAGCTGGACCAGCCAAGCTGAACATACACAGGGTTTATATAGGGGTTCCTGGGGTTGGGGAAGTTTTTCCAGGGTAGGGATTGGTCCGATTTCAGTGCTGAGCTCAGATTGGCTAGAGCTCTGCTCTGGGATTGGTTACTTTTTTACACAGGATTAGGGTCAGATTTGGCTCTGGTTTCAGGGCCAAAGTGTGTTTCTTTCTCTGGTCCTTTTTAGCCTTTTGCCTCCAATTTTAGGGCCAGGGTACATTTCTTTCACTGACTCTGATTCCAGGGACAAAGTGTGTTCCTTTGGCACTGGTTTTAGGGTCAGGGTACATTTCTTTGGTTGTGGTTGCAGGGTCAAAGTGTGTTTCTTTGGCTCTGCTCAGGGTGTGCTTCTTTGACTGGTCCCTTTTCCCTACACACACTGCCCAAGTGATGGCACCATTTATATAGGCCCTCACCACAGCTTATACAATGCTGTTTTGATGCTCAACCTTTGAAAGCATGAACTAACCCTCATCAGAGAAGTAGCTACTTATAGTAGATGGGAACTGATACAATGATGCACAAACTGGGTAATGTACAGAAAGTGCAAGATTTTGGAGTTCTCTGTTGTTAATAGGATGTGTTCATCAAAGCCCTCTCCTCGAGACTCAGGGATCCACATGGAAGAAGAGCTGGAAAGACTGAGAGCCAGGTGATGGATGTCGCCAAGGAGACTGCCTTCTAGACACAACAGAATTGATACACACATGAACTCAGCATGACTGGCAGCATGCTCAGTATCTGCACAGGTTCAAGTCAGACAGGGTCCCAGCATTGAGAAGAGGAAGTGGACATGTGCTCCTATCCCTAAACAAGATGCTATCTATGTCAGGAGGTAATGGCACACATTTGTAATCCTAGCACTCGGGAGGCAAAGGCAGGCAGATCTGTGAGTTCGAATCCAGTTTGGTCTTCAGAGTTCCAGGACAGAGAAACCCTATCTCAAAAACAAAACAAAACAACAACAACAAAAAAAAAACAAAAACAAAAAAAAAAAAACGCTGTTTGCAGTTGATACCCAGTGGCAGAGGAAAAATCAGTTTTCTCTAATAGAGTATCATTGGGTATATCAACAACACTTCAGGACAGACCATACCCAGGAGTAGCTGACTAAGACAAAAACAATCTCAATGGTTTTTGTTTTTGTTTTGACTTCTCAAATTCTGCTTTCTTTGAGCATTTTTTGTCTTACTGGTCTGTGGCGCCAGCGCCACAAGCAACTCCAAGGTATCAGGGAAAGAAAGACCAGACGTCCAGCTGTTTGTACTAAGAGAATGGATGTGTAGTCTTTATTGCCAGGAGAGTGTGTATGTGTGTGTCTTCATTGCAAGTGCTAAGAGGGCTCCCTCTTGTAAGAGGGAGGAGCTTTATATACAGGTTTACAGCACAGTGGAAAAACCCCAGGTAGAAGAGATCGTTGTTTTCCTCCTGCTGAATGTTGATGTCAGAGGGTCAAGGCCAGGGCAGTAAGCCAGGACTAGAAAACAGAAAGCACTTGGACTGGAAAACAAGTTGCCCTTGTAGGCTGACCAGCAACTCACAGAGACCCCATGGGGCTGGGGCCCAACACTGGTCTTTTGCCTATTTATTTTAATTTCCAACTAGGGCATGATGTTCTTGGTTCTTGCTTATGTTTGTATTTGTTTGTTTTTAAAGAGAAAAAGGAAGAGAAATACATTTGTGTGAGTAGGGGGGATCTGGTAGTAATTGAGGAAAGGGAAAGCATAATCAAAATATATTGTATGGAAAAATATTTTTCAATTAATAGAAAAGCCATGAGCTAAACAAGGGTCTTTCTTTATAAGCCTTAGGAATTTTATTAACATTACATATATATTTGTATTTTTATTTTAGCAGTAAACAGAAGCACTTGGCTTTGTTTAGTGGATGGCATTAGCTGCAGTTACCAGTACAGTTATATACAGTGCAGTTATATACAGTGCAGTTATATACAGTGCAGTTATTACCAGTGCAGTTATAGACAGTGCAGTTATTACCAGTGCAGTTATTACCAGTGCAGTTATAGACAGTGCAGTTATTACCAGTGCAGTTATTACCAGTGCAGTTATTACCAGTGCAGTTATAGACAGTGCAGTTATTACCAGTGCAGTTATATACAGTGCAGTTATTACCAGTGCAGTTATTACCAGTGCAGTTATAGACAGTGCAGTTATAGACAGTGCAGTTAT